TAGGGACAAGTTTGGGTCGTGACATTGACTATCATTAAAGGTTGTTTTGTTATTTTGTTCACAAAAAGAGAGGTGTTTATTGGTGGATTTCGGGGAACTTGGGCTTGAAGCTTTGGTGGATTTTGAAATAGCTCATCAACATGGATTCGACATCGGCGTTGTGGATTCAATGTTGAGCAAAGTAATTTCGAGGTGAAGATGGTGGTGGAAGAGACATATCAGGTTCGGTTCAATTCGGCTATAGATTCACTAAGTAATTGAGAGTTCTCCCGTGTAATTCTTTGTGTTTTCTTAGTGGATTATTTTGTGGCTTTAGTCTATGGAATTTTATCACAATTGAAGGAGTCCAATTGTGATTTTTTCACGTTAAATCATTCTACTGATTTGTTGTTGATTATTTGATTGGAATTGCTATTCGTTGTTTTAAATTGAATCATAATCACAAATCACTATCTTAAGGATTTTTAGAAATTTCAACCTATATCAACATTAATTACTTGTGAATAATATTTTCATTCTTTAATTATTTTGGGGTTGAGAGCTAGATCAACAATATGTAAAGAATAATATTATATGCACCAATTAGTATATCAATTAGTGTAATAACAAATGATATGACATAATTTTAGAAGTTTTAAATATTTGTAATTTATATAATAGGTGAGATCAATATTAATGTCATAACATATATTGGTATACTAATTGGTGCATATAACACCACCGATATGTAAAAGGCGTTTGTTAACATATGCCCTAAGAGCATATATTAATGAAGCATTAAATGAATAATTAATGAGAATAATTACACCTTGTATAACAAGAATTAAAAGGGGAGCAGCTTGCTGTTTGGCCCGTGGGAGCCCACCACGGGTCCCGTTTCAATAATCTTAACCGTTTAATGTGTAGAACTTGTCGAGTTCTATATGTCCGTAAAACATCATGTTGATCAGATATCGAGAGCTATCTTATCGGATCAGTTTTTTGTCAACCGTTAATTTGTTCACCATCCATTTTTTTATATAATACTGATTTGATCACATAACTATCGATATTCGATCAATGTGATTTTTTATAAGAAAATAGTACTTGATGAGTTCTATACATGTAATGGTTCGGATTATCGAAACGGGACCCGTAGTAGGCCCCTATAAGCCGAACAACACCCTCAAATTTGATTTGGAACTAGAAGGAAGTTACTCCCAATTAAAAGATTTAAAAGTTGCCTGAACTAAGATCAAATGCCCCTTTTGTTTTCCTTTCATTTTACCTCTTTACATCAGATTCTCTTATTTTTTGTATACCTTTTTTTAACCTAATAGAAAGAAGAAAAAAAAAAGAGTAAATTATATATAGAAACACTAATGCACAGTGCATTGAGGAGCTCCAAACCAAAGAGCTATTGAAATCTAAAACCAAAAACTCGTCTAAATTTTTGTTCATAATTGTGTTAGTAGTTATTTCGTTCTCTTTTTATTTTTTTTGGATTTTGATATGGATTTATTAAAATACACTATTAATTTGATTGAATTTTTTAGAAAAAATTAAAAAAACAATCAAAAATTATTATTTTTATATAATTTTATCTTTTTGTGAAACAAATAATTTGAAATTTTGAAAATATTCTTTTTGTATTTATTTTTTATCAAACTGATTTTTAATTTTAAAACTCAACCAAATACAAATATTTTGCAACTAGAAAGTTTTATTTTGAAACACAAATATTTTGAGAGGCTCTCACCCTGTGAGTGCCCTTAAAACAAACAAACAAAAAAAACTACTTTGTAATTTTGTGTTTAACACATCATATTATTAGACAAAGGAAAATGCATGAGACCCCCCGGGGGGGTGCTGGGGTCTTTTCTGATTGGTCCAAAAATTGTTGATTTTTTTTTTTTTTTCAGTCATTGGCAGCCCCCCACGTGGAGGTGGGGGTGTTGGGGGTCTCCAGCATTGCCGATTAGACAAATAAGGTTTTAAAAAAAACGTTTTTCAATAATATCAAATTTATTTATAATTTAGTTTTACCTTCTGCATACAAGTGAAGATTGTTGAAATTATTTATTATTTTCTTAACATGTCTCCTTAGTATACAGGTTAACAAGGCCTTATGTAAAATTATTAGACAAAGGAAAATGCATTAGACCCCCCAAGGGGGGGTGCTGGGGTCTTTTCTGATTGGTCTAAAAATTGTTTTTTTTTTTTTTTTTTTCAGCCATTGGCAGCCCCCCACGTGGAGGTGGGGGTGTTGGGGGTCTCCAGCATTGCCGATTAGACAAATAAAGTTTTAAAAAAACGTTTTTCAATAGGACGCTGATTGAGGGCCCGTAATTTCGGGGCTCGAATGCCCCGAAATTCCATTTTAGGTAAAAAAAAAAAAAAAAAAAAAGAGAAAAGAAAGAAAAAAATAAAACAGTTTCCAAAATTGGAAATTAGGGGCATTAGGGGCAAATTTTTTAGGGCCACCAATCATTTTCCTTTTCAATAATATCAAATTTATTTATAATTTAGTTTTACCTTCTGCATACAAGTGAAGATTGTTGAAATTATTTATTATTTTCTTACCATGTCCCCTTAGTATACAGGTTAACAAGGCCTTATGTAAAATAACATGTCACCTGCAATGCTAATATAAAATGAAAATTTTATTCAGCAAGTAATACTCGATTTATTTATTAATTGACATATTTTTGTATTGTCCCTTCAAATTCTGCCACCGTTTAAATTTGTTTTAGGACTATAGAATAATTCCTTTATAAAAATGGATATATACTGGCATTGATAAGACTTATTTACTTATAAGTCTTATAATTTTTTTTTTCAATTATTAATATGTCCAAAATGTCACCACCTTATCTCATTTTGTACATCAACCATAGAATTATTGTCATGACTCTTTACTGTCAGCAATTACCTCCGGTCATTGACGACTACCTCTAATGATGACTGTCAATAACAACCTTCAACATTCGGTGACCATTTTTGTCCATCGTCTCTAACTAGCGGCAATGATTTTCAATCTCTGGTGACTTTCGACAACATTTTTCTAATAATTTTTCAACAAAAATAATGTTCATCTCCATCGCATCACTATTGCTACCACTTTCTCAGATCTGATAACAATAACAAAGAGATAGAGATAAAGAAGGATGAGAGAGGAATGAGGAGAAAAAATAAGGCTAAGTTTGGCAACCTAAAAATAGTCTATCTTTTTATCTTTTTATTTATTTTTCCATCACATCACCTCTCTACTTTTATGCATATCTTTTCGTAAAAAAATAAAAAGTACACTTATTTAGGTCATTCCAAACAACTTCTAAGTCTTTACCAAATTATATTTTACATCATTTTTTATTGTCATAGATGAATACAAAATTAATAAATATATGTATATATTTAATGATAAATTTTATCACCGAGTGATTTGTAAAAAAAATTATAAACGCCAAATCTGATAGACATTAGCACGTGCTTGGAAAATGGGGGAAAGGGAATCAAGTGTTTATAATAGAGATTAGTTTCTTTCTAGTTGGGCTTCTCACTTAGATGGTGGTGTTGGGCTTCTGGGTGTATCACGGAGGTCGTATCGATAATTTAAACCGTTCAATATGTAGAATTTGTCAAGTATTTTATTTTTATAAAAAATCACGTTGATCAGATATCAATAGCTACTTGATCAGATAATATTTTTGTCAATAATTTATTTTAAAAATTATATTTACCGTTAAATGAAATGTGATTTAATCAAATGACTATCAATATCTAATTAATATAATTTTTTTAAATAAATAAAACAATCGACAAGTTTTACATATGAACGTTCCGAATTATTGATGTGAGTTTCGTGGTGAGTCTACGAAATTCGAGAGCTCTCCCGGGTATGATGTTGATTTAATTGAAGCGAAGCCTCTCCCGTTATAATAAATGGTTTTTCGGGAGTAGAGAGCAGCAAAGTAAAGAAATCCATGTGCGGATGATAAAGATGAAAGAGACCTTTTTGGTCTCAACTGATCTCCGAAATTCATTTAGGTGTCGTTTGGGAAGAGTTTATTTGGGTTCTTTTGGCTTTTTGAATTACAAAAGACAGAATAAGTTATTTGAGTCACAACAGACAAAACATCACATTTAATTCATAGTCATTATATTCTTCTCTCTCAAAAAAAATCAAAATAGTCAAAAAGTCCTTCTCAAACCAAGCTTTTGAACCCAAATTCAAATAATCAAAAGAGTCAAAAAAATTAAAAAGCAAACCCACTTTGCAAACGGAGACTTATGAGCTTAGCAATCAATCATTGACCCAAAGTAAACGCTAGCTTTTGGCAAATTGGCATTCACTCCCCGCCACCATCCCATCCCATCCCATCTGTTATATTTAAATATAACGATATGCTGATCGTTGATGGTTTGGCTTGATAGCGAGTAACGACTGATGTAGATTTGTTTGCTGAAAATTTATACTACTAAAAATATAAAAAAAATTAGTAATGCAAACAAGTGTAAGTGTGTGTGCGTGTGTTTTTGGGTATGCTGCAGGGGTAGCTGTATTTGTAGTATAACTGAAATAGAAATAGTTAATTGTATTTTAGTTACAAATTAATACAACTTTGGTCTCAAAATTGTTATTTGTAGTTTTTTATTGACTCAAAATATTAATTTATTTTAAAAAATTAAAGACTAAAATAATTTGTATTTCTTATTTTGTCATTTTCTTTATATTTATTAATATTAATATTTTTGAAATATAATAATTGTTAATATTTTTGAAATGTAATAATTATACTAATAAAAACTAAATTTCTAAAAGAGACTAATATTTTGAAATGAAAGGAGTATTATTAATTATTGTTGAGTAATGTTATACAAATGGAATAATTATTTATTTTTTACAAGTTGATGTGTAATTATTATCAGTTAATTTTATTAAATATTAAAATATTATTAACATAAATTACTAAATTTATTTGTGTAATGTTTTTATAAACAGGTAACATTTGATGGGATCCCATCCCGCTGGAAATTATTGGCCAATTCTTTCCATTTCTGTGTGTCCTAATTTTAGGATAGAATGTAAAGCCGGCCAATTTTGTTGCATAAAGTTGACATGGGTTGCGATTGATATATATGTAAAAAAATAAATAAAAAAGAGAAGATTCGTTTGAAAGCTTGCACACACACAGAGAGAGAGAGAGAGAGAGAGGGTGGGGCTTAAAGTAATACTAGTAATGATGTTGTGTTCGCCGGCGAGAACAGGGAGACATCGGCAACGGTATATGGATGAATTTAGGCTGGTGGCTGGGTCTGTCACTCAGTCCTTCCTTCCTTCTACGTTTTCATATATACAAATTACAATACAATACATATTTATTTGTTTCACTCACCTTTTGGGTTTTCTTTATTTCGATATTTCTTTCCTACAAATTTTGCATCCATTTGCGGCTTTGTATATATATATATATATGTTTCTCCCCTGTCAGTTTCTCCTACGTTGTTGTCGTTTTTTTTTTTGTTTGCTCTCCTTCTCCAGGTTTCTCTTTACTTTTCTTTTTAATCTTCTTCACTATGTGGGAATTGCAATTAATGGTTTGTTTTGTTATATCCTCAAGCTTGACATAAACTAATCAAGCTCTCCAGATGATGTGCTAGATCTCAAATATTACAGAATTAAGCTTCTGAAGCTGCTCAAGCATTTGGGGCATTTTCAGGCCAATTTGTGATATGGTTATCTCAATTATTATTATTATTATTATTATTATTATTATTATTATGATTATTGTTTTCTTGGAATAAATTTTGGTCTTTTATACAACATAAATGTAGCATATTAGTTGGATGTGGTGATAATATACATACATATGTCTGGGTCAAGAAGTGATAAGAAACAGTAATCCAAAACTCGGCCCTCTTCTCATGCCATCATGACCAGTAGTAAGTAGTTCACAGCAGATTTTGCATCAATTTTTGTTTTATTTTACTGTAAAATCTGATTCACAACAATCTATTACTTTCGTTTCTTCTTTACAAAGTTTGATGGAAAGGTGTGATTGATCTCAGAGATTAATAATGTAGGTCCACTGCCAACTTAGTGAAGGTGTTGACTTTCCTAAGCTAATTTTTTTGTCAAATTGCTGAAGAGAAGATACTATCATATTTCTTGTAAATGATTGAGGGTTGGTTATATTAAACAAGCATGAATTCAGGTGGCAAAAATAACAAGAATAATATTAGGAGTCATGAAAAAAAATCATGAAACGCATCATGAATATTTTTCATCCCTTGATTAGTGTGTGGTGTTTTATTTTAAGTGTAATCTAAAGGTGGAGAATCTTTCATGATCATTTTCATGACATTTTTTTCATGATTCATAGCATGGGTTCATGGAACAACTCAGCATATACTGATTTGTGCTTATTCAATAAATTGGGATGAGTCTCTGACTCTCTCATTTCATTTGGAAACGTTTAAGGCCTTTGATTTAATTGAATGCCAGCCTACTAATTATTAGGAGACAAAAACTAATAAAGGGTCCAATTGTTTTGCCTGAAAAAAGGTCAGGAAATGAAATATCTCCATGCTAATTATTGATACTCCTCAATTCTCAACGATCATTGAGAATGCAACACTTTTAAGATTTAAGCTACACCACATATCTTGAGCTGAATGAAGCTGGTTCAGTTCACCTCATGTTTTGGAACCCAAATTCCATCAGTATAAGTGCAACATTGTTACTAGTGATGTTTGCATCCTGCTGTGGTACAAGAACAATATTAAGTTGTGGAAGGGGATACTTCTGTATGATTTTGAACAGCTGCTTTCTAATGCCAAGTGGAGCCTTTGCTGTGACACTAAAGTTCTTTATTATATTTTGTTCTGTTAACAGGTAATGTGTTAATAAAGGCAAAACATATTTAATATTACGCAAAATAAATAAGAGAAATTATAAGAGTCTAGTTTTAAATGTCAAGATTTAAAGCGTAGTATGTGAGAATGCTAGATTTGATGCCAATTTAAGCTTGACATATAGGACGGGTTACTAGATATGAAAAAATTAATATGCTAGATTTTCTCCCTGCTTTAGTTTCTGTTCTGTCACTTTTGAAGGCATGCCTTCAATGTTCCATTGGGAAGAATATATGGTTAACGATCGTCTTTCTTGAGCATAAATATAGGGCAGTCGTAAAATGCTAGCACTAGTCAGTGGCCATGTATGGTGAGAGATATAGAGAGAGTCAACGGTTGAATTAGCACTAGTCAGTCACCATATACATTTCTACATTTTGGAAAATATTCCTTTCAATACATTCTTGTCCTGAATTACATTTCTACCTTGAGAAGAAAATTGTGCTTCAGAGGAGCCTTTCTCTCATAAAGCCTGGTACAATTTAATTAAATGTAGTGGGTGGACCTTGATTTTAAAGTTCAAAATATGCTTTTAAGTGTTCATTGAGATTGTCAGTTTCCATTTGTGACGCTTTGGATCTTCTTCTTCTTCTTCTTCTTCATCTTTTTGTTTTGTTGCTTTTTTGTTTTTTCTTTTTTGGGTATGGTTCATTCATGCAATATTAATGAGCTTTGGGGTTTAAATTGGACTACTGCTACTGCGAGTGCTTCACTATTAGACATACTCTTCATCCCATGCATTTCTTCTGTTAATGTGTTCACATTTTGCATTAATAGCTGAATTAATTTTCCTGGGTTATATTCCTTGTTTGGTGCAAAATTCAGGTGCATTCCTTTTAAGTTTGAGAAAGTTGTTCGGGATGACATTTGCGATTTAGAGAAGAGGTTACTTGTCCTCATGATTTCTTCACCAAATCGTGATGATCTTGTTTTTCCAAAGGTGTATCTTGGTGCTTTTTTATTCAACATTTGAAGCAGAATATCGGGATCTATCGTTCTAAAACGAATGATGTGAGCTAAATATAAGTTTCGATTGTAATGCATTTATTTGATTGTCAGGGTGGATGGGAAGATGATGAGACCATTACTGAAGCTGCATGTCGAGAGGCCTTGGAGGAAGGAGGAGTGAAAGGAATACTTCGTGTAGGTTTCTAGTACCAGCTTGGTATAGGCGCAATAGCTTTTGTTCCCTTATGTCAATTATTGTTGAGAATGACATTTTTCTGCTTATATTTTGTTTACTGGAATTGCCTTATATTTTATTGCATTTTTTTGCTCATTTATGAAATGAAGCTTCAGAATTACTCTGCTGAAGATGCAGTATCTGCTAAAAGAAACTGGTATCTTGGTTAAAAGAACAATTACTTGTCAAATACTTTTCACTCAGGTTTGCACTATGTTATGCCTTCTGCTTTGGCTATAGGATACCTTAGTGCCTTAGTGCACCTTGAGCCTTTAACTGTTATAAAAGACGAATAATAGCAATGAACAAAGTTTTATTTGAATTTGCTCAGAACCCAACTTGTGATTTAAGAATTCTTGCCCTGAACACAATATTATTAATCCTGAACTTGTACTAGGCTCCATTTCCTTTTCTTTTTCCTTTTGAAGAGTGATAGAATTGTACCGCATTTGGATACAAATAATTCAGGGTATCATTGCAGGGTGTTGGACATATCAAGATATGCCAATTTATCAATTTTTGAATTGATTTGTTACTAGGAGTTTAATCTTTTTGCCAAACATGTAGGGATTTGACCCTGCAGCCACAACACTTGATTTGACCAATCCCACGAATGAAGGAACCAAACTCCTTTTTCTAAGTTGTTCCATTTGGTGTTTAAGGAGCTCCCCGTGCTGCAGGTACCACAGTGGCCCTATGTTGCTGGTGGATTAGTATATTCATCCTTTCCTAGGCTTCTAGTCCTTTCTTTAAGAGTGGCTCAAAACCTTAAAACTGGTGCCATGATGGTTATATTCGGTCAAGTGCATATATACTTGGTGAACCTGATTTATATGGAAATTTGCTATACAATGACCTAGTAGATTAATAATTCCACAAAGCCTTAAAGCCAGACTTTTTTCACTAGTCATTTCTGTTTGGGTCCATGTATGAATCAAATGGCACCATGAGATCATTTGACGGATGTCACCCTTGATGGCTGTCAGCCTGAATGCAGGGCCAGAGCTATGGCTTTTTTCTAGTGGAGGTAAAATCTTAGATAGAACTAAAATTTGAAAACCAAATAATAATAATCAGGAAATTGAACTAATAATAATCATGGATTGTGTGGGTTAGAAGAAATGCCATATTATAGGATTAGTTGGGCTAAAACAGACCAATGCTCTTTCTTTTTAATTAATTTATTTAATGCAGAAAGACAAAGGAAGAGAAAGAGATCAACAAATCAGTGGGGGCAACTGAGCATTTTTCGGTAATAAAACTTTTAATTAAAGAACAAACATCGGTTTTATAAAAAAATCGAGTGGGGCAAATTGCCTCACGTCTCAATGGCATTCGCCGTTGTTGTCTTTTACTGGAAGTAACTTTACTGTTTCTGTAAAGGATTAAATTAAACTAGTATGTTCATGAGCACACAGATCAATTTGATGATGTTGTGGAATAACCTTATGGTTGCAGTTACTTCAACTTTTTTTTGATTGAAACAGAAAAAAGCTTTTTGTAGTTTTCAGAGAGGAGCTCTTGCTCCAAAAGATGCTTTCATATACTAGGGTGGAATGTGGGTTTTATTCAAGTCTTTTATTTATTTTAGGAACTTAATTAAGGCTTGGTTTGGTAATGGTGGCAGCTTCACTTAATTCTGATTGGTATATCAACAAGTCCTAATATACATCTGGTAAATCTTATTTTATTTTTTTGGTAAAATAGGGGCTGAAGCCAAAGGAAAACTAACACTTGGTAATTTGATAGCATAGCATATTGCAAATAGTAGTTTTTCCCCTTATTATTGAGTAATATAATGAACCTGATTTTTCATGTGGTTTAGGAAGAACCTCTGGGAGATTGGGAGTTTAGAAGCAAGAGCAGTCAGAACAGCTGCAGCGTAGGAGGAGGTTGCAGAGGTTTTATGTTTGCCTTGGAGGTGACTGAAGAACTGGACTACTGGCCAGAGCAGGATATCTATGATAGGAAATGGGTCGGTAATAGTATCCTACAAATTTGAAGTGCTTGTTAATGAGATGAATATGATTTGTTTATCTATGCATGTGACATCCTTCTTTTGGTAAATCCATATCCTAAAAATTTGAAGTGTTTGTTTTCTTCACATCATTTTGTCTCATCGTCAAATCTTATATCACTAATATGAGAAACTCTGCATTTAGAGCTTTGCTTGTCATGTATAACAGCTTACCATCGATGAAGCCTTCAAATTCTGCCGGTACGATTGGATGCGGGAAGCTCTTAAAAGACTCTTAATGGTTCTATCAGAGGGCAGTGGGACAGAAGAAACTGGGGAAGAGTTGGTGGAATTTTCTAGGTTGTCAGTTTCAGATGCTCAGGCTGATCAAACGCTATCACCTCTCTACTTTGGTAAGCCATCTGGTGTCCAACACCTTGATGAATCTTGTAGTAAATGTGCTGTTCTGGGTTAATTGGTCTTCCGTAGCCAAGTTGATCTGGGTGGGTTTTTAAGTGTCTGCTGTCCTTGATTGTTGGAATAGTGTTGAAGCTTGTTCTCAAATCTCTCCTCCTCTCTTTGTGACACTCTGTCATGTTAAAGAGTTTATGGTAGAGTTCTGTAACTAAAATCTGATTTGAATTCTGAAGTTGTACCTATGCACCTGTAAATGTCATTAAAATTATCATTCGTATTGATTGTTCAGAATGAATATTCAATTAGGTAATTAATCATGGTATCCATGTTGGTTTGAAATGAGTTGTTAGATGATATTTGTTTGCAGTATAGGAATGATGGTCTCAACTCAAGGGTTGAGCTTTAAGGTTGCTGTTTCTTGTTTTTGTCGTTTTTGTTTTTCAGAATATTTTGAAAACCCAAAATAAAACATGTTTGCCAACTGTTTTTTTTTTTGGGAAAAAAAGTGACAGAAATTTCCTACATTTTGTAAGGAAACAAAAAAAAAAAAAAAAAAGGAAAAAATCAAGAAAAAAGATCTTCAATTTCGGCGTCAAAGGCAGCGTCGGCATCACGGACTAATTATTTTAAACTTGACTATTAGTTAAGATAGGATACATAATCCAACGGATTCGTAATCCTAGGATTATTAGTCATGGGAATATTAATCCGGTCCGCCCAAACAAACATGGCCTTTGTGTATTATGTAATTCTGGACTCTATTTTTGTATGAGTATTGAAATATACACTCAACTCTACAATGTATTTCTACCTAATGATTATGAAAATAAATCAATTTAATATTGTATACTTGAGCAAAGAGGCTTAATTAATTCCGTTTTTATTATTTTTTATACCTATCAAAATAAATCAAATCGATATTGCATCTTGTGAATTATCTTTATTAGTAGAGCCTAGAAGAATATTTAAGTATTCAAAGTTGGAAAGATTGGTCATTTTAGTTCAATGTTAGAGTTAAACTAAGCACTCGTTTGGCGTAGCAAATTTTGGGGCTAAAAAATTAATAATATAAAATGCCACATCTAAATAATAATCATTTCATTTTTTCTTTCATAAAAGTCAAAAAAATCAAAAGGTCTATTTCAAATAAGACTTTTTAGCTCCAGGCTAAAATAATCAAAAAACCAACCTACATCTCAAAAGAACCCTAAGTAAATACACTGGCAATGAAAGTATAGTTGTAACATTTTCATGGATCAAGCCCCATTTTTGTCATACAACTTAAAACTAGGTAAAGAGGCATGATCTTAAATTATAAATTTATTATATTTACCAAAAAAATGCATACAAATTAAATTTTAGCTCATAACAGTAACTTACTTTCTTAATAAAAAATGCATACAAATTAAATTTTTGGTTACACCAGTAACTTAGATCTCATTTGGGGACTAAATATTTTAGCTAAAATGCTCAAAAGTTACTATAAGTTATCACACAACTCTTTTTATTTTTCTATACATTTTTTGTAAAAAGTTAAAAAATTACTAAAATAGTATGTTCCCAAATGAGGCTGTCTAAATAAATTATTATTATTGACAATTAGTTGGGAATTACAAAATAAATTTGTCATGTAAGTGGTTTAAATGTATTATAATATTTATTTAGCAAGAAATGGCTTCTTAAAATTAATTATCCAATGCATTGCATGAGTCCAACACTAGTTTTTAAGACTTTGCAAATTGTTTTGTTGATAAAATCTTTTGATGTGTTCCATAGATTTGTGATCAAGTGAGGGGGAAAAGAACATCATTACACGTTTGTTTTGCATTTCTTAGTTGACCACCATGTGCAAGGACCTACTTTCCTAAAAAAAACCATTGTTTATTTTAATTGTTATTAAAATTATTATAATTTTATTTGATAAGGTGATTGTTTTCTTGGAAAGAACATGCCTCTAAGTTCTACTCACATGCAACCCAACTTGCCTTTTTCTCTAGTTTTGGAGGCTTACGGGATTTCATACTAATTATGTGATACAAAGAATGCTCCAAGCTTTTGCAATATGAATACGAAAAAGAAAAAAAGTCATTTGCATGGAACTTAAAAACTTTAACAAAGTAATAAATAATAATCACAGAAAACGAAAACAAAGAAAAAAAACTTGGGTTTTGGTTAAAGGCAAGAAAGGCTTGTGGAACACATTATTGAATTTAACTTGAATTAAATTGGATGCACATGGCTGATATATAATGATATCCCTAACATTTCCATCCCAGTAATTACGAGACCCCCTTTTCGCCCCTCCTCTCTATTCCTTTTGTAATCTTCATTATCTATATAATTTTAAGTTCAAAATGGAACAATTTTTTAACATCATTTGGTCATAATTGTTCCCAACTGCTAGCCATTCAGATATCAATTTCAATTTCTTCATTCGTGTATGAACAATTTCTTCAAATACTTTTAGTTGTGAATATGCATGACACATGAACCTCAAACAATTTAAAGTTATATGATTTACATTCACCCACAAATTCATAGTTTTTTGGTTCTAGTTTTCAGAAAATAATTTTCAGAAAATTTACTTTTTTATTTTTTGTATTTTAATATTTTCAATGATTTTTTTTAATATTTTAAGCATTTTTTTTAAAAAAATTTAGACACACCTAACATAAATACAATTTAAAAGTATAATATTTCTGAAAAAAAATATTTAAAAAATTCACTAAATACCAAAAATATTTTTAAAAAATGAAAATCAGTACATTTTTCGTATTTTTGTGTATTTATTAATTTTGTAAAATATTTTTTCACAAATATTTTACTATTTAGATACAAGTTATTTTTTCACAAATAACTTAAAAAACTAAAAAATACGAAAAAAAAAACTCAGCTTTCAAAAAGCTGAATTCAGAAAATTGAAACCAAACACACTGATTACTTTTAATGAAATTCCCCACAATTACTTCTGCATCTATGGACCATTAGTAACAACTTTTCCTTATGGATCGTTTGATGCTACCATCTTATCTATATCCATAGAACTGAATCATCTTAGTCACATTGGTGTCCTTTGATTTAAATTTTTTTCCCATCTAATTTATCTTGCAAAATTTTTGGGAAGATTGCAAATAAGGAGTATTGATATTTTTGCTAGTTTATATTATACAAAAGTGAGGTTTTAACAATAAAGGTTGAGATCTAAAGCGTCAACTAAATTTCTTAATTTTTTGGGCTAATTGAATTGGGGAATATATGTTTGTAGACCTGGATAGCCTTCTACCACGGATAGAGAGAAAGAAATGACTAATTTTTCATGGAAAAAAGAGAGGAAACATGTGGATATTATTATTAAAGCAATTATGGAAGATGTTAGAGCCAGAATGAGTTCATGGAGAATGTAAAGAATGGCTTTTGAAAACAGGCAAACTTGTATTCTTTTGACTGGAATATATCTATGACCCATATATACTGAAACATTAATTAACTACTTATGTGTACTGATGATGCAGCCAAATTCTTGACGAGGAGAATGATTTTTCTACTATCTTGATTTGGGAGCTGAGGGATTGTGAATTCCTTAAAGATTTCCTAATTCATTGGTTGCTTAATTGTTGAATGAAGCTAATTTGAGTGTACGTATGCTGTTTGCTTGATGTTATCATATCAGGCTTGGTTTTGAAAATCTCCTGAGCTTCTGGGGAGTGCCTGTAACATTTTATTTTCTTTCTTTTAAAATTTAGGGATTGTGAATTCCTTAATGCTGTGTTTGGTTGAGGGATTTGATGAGGGATTTGGAAAGGGAAATGGAAAAGATAGGTGAAATGTAAAAAAAATATACTTACATTTCACATAGTTTAACACACCTTTTCCCTTTCCCTTTCCAAATCCCTCCCCAAATCTCCCAACCAAACACAGCATAAAGATTTCCTAATTCATTGGTTGCTTAATTGTTGAATGAAGCTAATTTGAGTGTACGTATGCTGTTTGCTTGATGTTATCATATCAGGCTTGGTTTTGAAAATCTCCTGAGCTTCTGGGGAGTGCCTGTAACATTTTATTTTCTTTCTTTTAAAATTTTAAATTTGCATAATAATAGTAGTAATATGTGTATTAAATATAAAAGATAAAAATAGAGGAAATAGGTTGGTGAAAGATAAAGCCCATATGGTAGTAATTGTGATGCTGATGGAGCTAATGATTGAGTGATCATCTGACTATCCTTCAGTAATCATGATTGGTTTGCATACATTAAGCAATCATAAGATGCATGTTAGTCTCTCCCTTCTTTTTTTTAGACAAATTACTTTTGGTTTGTGTAAAGTTCTTTAAAGGCATGCATGCTCCTAAATGCAGTACACTCTGCAAGAATGATCTTTTCTTTATGCACATCTACTCAATACAGTCAATGATTAGTATGTGATTCAAGTGCTCTCTCTCTCTTTCTCATGTGTAGAACAATGGATTGAATATGTTGATACAACTCAAAAAATAAGGTAATTAATAATTAATAAAAACACAAATGCTAATGACTAGTATTGATTCAATTGAGATAAGAGTGAAAAGTGTTTTCAAATTGATGAAAAATATCTTGTGCTTTTCTTATCTTTTTCTTGGTTAGTAATCTCTGACTTAGTCATTCTCATTCATTACTTTGATTAACTAGTGATTTGAATGGTCCTCATTTTAATTCAAAATATGTCACTTCTCATTAAGTAGTTAATTAAAGATTAAAAAAGTATTCTCAAGATCATTTAGAGTACAAATTAGACACACAAGGGGATGGATTTCACCATTTAAGACTATTAACTCTTCAAGGAATAAAACAGAGAAGAAAAAGAATAGTAGTTAAAATATATATAAGCTCATTTTACCGGTTTCTTTGTTACTAATTTTTTTGGTTTCAAAAAACTAGAATAGAATAACAAGTCATAGTTATTACTGAAGCAATTTTGACTGATGCAAATTAGTAGTCACCTTCTTCATCTTCTTTGAATTGGCGGCAGCTTCAACTTATTATTAAACAGAGAGAGAGAGAGTGAAAGGTACTAATTAGTGTATTAATATAGTTATGATATTATCATTTTAAAACTATGACCCCACTTATTATACAGATTATAAAAACTTCTAATGATAATACACACACATAAGCATTAACATGAAGTAATATACAGAGTCACTCTAACTCGAATAATGTTATATGTATCAATTAATGTGCACATTAGTATACTAAAAGATTTGTATAATTTTAGGTATTTGTAACTTGTATAATAAATGTGGTCAATTATAATATCATAACACTAATATATACACTTGTAACTGTTGTTTCTATTAATTAATGGAAATTATTGCACTAGTATTGAAGAATGAAGATTATGGTTATGAATCTTATGATTATGGCAATTAAGAAATGGTACCCACTAATAACATTACATAATGGAAATGATATAAAAACATAGCCCACTCTTGCTCATCAGTATATGTGATAAACAATATAATAAACAACAGCACATGAATAAGAATTTTTTGAGAAATTTGTATGTATAATTATATGGGAAATTATCAATAGCATTACATACCAACTGATGGAATTAATTAGGCGTAGGCCCACTGAGTATCTGATTACTCAGTGACTAGTTTTTATAATATATATTGGTGGGTGACATATATAATGCCTGATCAATTTATAAAAAATATAATAGTATAAAAATAATGATACAGAAAAATGCACATGTAGTGTTTATTACTTAAGTAATAAGGATTTGTTTTGCCAAACTCATAATCTTGATTTCAAGTCTTGTAGTTTTCTTTTTTACATGAATATTTTCCCACAAATGTGTCAACAACAGTATCAGCAGCGGCAGCGTTCACTTTATATATTAGAATGGATAGATAGATATACGTATTATTAAGGTTTTTTTATAAAAGTAAAAAGCCTCATTATTGTTTAGGAAAAAAAGAAGACACTTGAGGCAGGGATACGGGTGCCATTTGAATTCCAGTATGAAATCCAGTTTATTTAAAGCAGCATTGGGCAACAATTGACTCAAGCAGAGAACAACTCTCTCTCTCTCTCGTCAGAAAATCTCACTTCTTATCAGCGGAGCAGGAGACAAAGATTGAAAGGCAGAGACAAGGAGAAGTCTTTCTAGTTCTTCCACCTAGCTATCTGTATATAAATATAAACAATATATATATATATATATCTCAATCATGGATTTCATCAACCACTCAAAAAAAGTAAACTCCCAATCATCGTCGTCAAAGAGCAGAAGAAAGAATCAGCAGCAGCAGCATGACCAACAGCAAGAAGAATCAAAGTCTTGGTGTGCAGGAGGAAGGTTTATCGGGGTTCGAAGAAGGCCATGGGGCAGATATGCAGCGGAGATAAGGGATCCATCCACTAAAGAAAGGCATTGGCTAGGCACTTTCGACACTGCAGAGGAAGCAGCACTCGCCTATGACACTGCCGCCCTCTCCATGCGTGGCTCTCTCGCTCGCACCAACTTTGTCTACTCCGACAACAACATCCCTATTCCTCCTCCCCCTCCTCCTCCTCCTGCAGCTTCCTCCGACCATGAATTGCTACACGACTTCTCCGCCGGCCTCTTCCTTGTGAATTCGCATCAAAACCAACAACACAATCAATTATTCTACTTTGGTTCAACTGGTCAGGAGGACCATGACCAAGACCACCACCGGCCTCTCAATGTCAGTCATTTTTCAAGTGGATTTTTCCCAGTTCCAGGAGACGAGTGGATTCAACGAAGGGTGAATGATGATGACAGTGATCATCAGCAGCAGCAACAGCAGCAAAGTATTATTATGCATGGTGGTACTGGTACTGGTACTGGTACTGGTACTGGTACTGGTACTGCTGGTGGGTCATTGAAACACCAACAATACTTCTGTGATGATGAAGTGGACTTGCCACCATTGCCACCTGATATTTCGAGTTATTATTATGATGGTTCAAAGAGCGTCCAGCAGCAGCAGCAGCAGCAACTTTCCGAGGTGGGTCATGGTGCTGATGTATGGAAGGAGGACATGCTTTTTCTTGGTGAAGACAAGTTTTCTGTGGGGACTGGGACTGGGTCTGGGTCGTATTTGAGCGAGTTCTTGCAACAGCAAAGCACACTCCTTGGGAGGATGGAGCCAGTTTCTGATGGGTTATCATCATCACCATCTTCACTACCACTACTACTACCAGCTGATGAAGCTCATCATGGTTTTGACTTTGGCGGTTCTTCTTCTTCATCCTCATTTTCATCCACATACTTCTTCTGATCTAAATTGTTTAACGACTCCTTCCTTTTTCTTTTCTTTTTTTTTTTTTCAATCTCTGTGTGTGTGTGTGTGTGTTGTGGTGGCGTTAATAAACGTAATTTGATAAGTATGAGCGTGTCTGTCGAGCTTCAGTTTGGGTCCAATGAGTCCCATATGTGTACATATTATCTGGTGGCCGTTTTGCTATGCTTTTTTTTGGACTATTGCAGCATGGCGGGAGCGATGTTGATGTTAGCGGTTGATTGATGGATCATTTTGGTTGTTTGTTTTGAGGTCAATTGTAATTTGTATGTATGTATCCATATCTATCTATTGTTGTTGGGCAAATTATGCGATCAATATTTTTTTTTTGTTTTTGGGGTTGGTAAAATCCCGGCCGAAGCTGAAAGAAAAAAATTACAGAGTAACACAACGAGAGGAACCAATTCCTAATATGTCACTTTCTAAAGCTATAGCCAAAACAGAGGGCTCATCTACCAAATATTCACTTACAACATCCATACCAAGGGCCCCTTTTTGCAAGAATATTGGCACACACATTAGCTTCATGCCAGATTTGTTGCAGGTCGCACTCGCAATTCTTCTCCATGAGCTCTCAAATCTCTTGACAAATATTGACCTGAGGATGCATTGGATTTGCCTTTTGAAATGCTAAAATTGCTTCTACCGAATCAGACTCTATGATGACACGACATTTTCCCCCATCTGAATCAACCTTACCTTAATGCCTTCTTTAGTCTCTATCCGTTTATTCTTGGCTTCGTAAGTAATGTAATACCCTATACACATTTGGCTTTCTTCCCCTAATTGAGTGGCATTTTTTAGTTTATGATATGAATCAACCTTGGTGCTTTATATCCAATCTATTTCAAAATATTAATTCCTTATTTTATTTTTGCATTATTTTAAAATATTAATCCCTTTTAAAAAAAGAAAAAAGAAAAATTGTGATAAATCCACCTTAGAGAGTGCCTAAGGCATTAGATTTAATGAATATTTTTTGTTGGTGAAAAGTCTACGTTTTGTGAAATAATTTGATGAAATGTTTGGTAAGACATTTTATTTCCAATTTCACCCCTTGATTTTTTTTTATCTGTTTGACTTTTTGTTGACTATCAGTTCAATTTTTTTTATCTGTTCAATTTTTTACCTATCTGTTCAAATTCTATGAGTTTTTCTATGTTCTTATTTGTCAAAACAATATCTATTGAAAAATATTATCTATTCAATTTTTTTTTTTTTTTATCTATTCATTCCCCATCATCTATCTATGTCACTAAATACAAAAAAACAACAAAACAGTGCATCAAAAAAACAATTATCTATGCAAATTAGAGAGAGAAGAGAGAAATTATATGTTCAATCAAACACACATATTAGATCCAAACAATACCCCTGGATCAAATTAGATCCAATCAAACAAAGTTACACAGATTACATGAATTATTTGTTCCATTAAAGGCCCAACACATATTCACTCTTAAAATTCTTTTATCTGTTTATTGATTAAAGAACACAAGACCAAATTAAATCTATCTATCAAAAACAACAACAACAATAACAAAGAAAAAAAAATACAAATCATCATCAACAAGAAGAAGCAGCCAAATCACACAAAAAAATTCAAACCAGAAACAAATCTAAACAGATAACCACGATCATCACAAACAGAGAAATCTCTCTCATCACTCTTCTTCTCCAGATCTGACTTCAGATGATGTAGAACAAATAGCCGAAGACTTCTTAGAACAATTGGACCGACAAAAGGCAAGAAAGATGTAGAACAAAATTCTATAATTTTTATATTTCTTAATTTTATTATTTTGGAATTAGATTTTGACTAGGATTTTAAATAGTTTAGAATTTTAGTCTCTTTGTTTTCCTAATTTGTGCTGATTTAAGTTTCCTAGTTTCTTATTCTCTTAGGTTTCTTAATTTGTATTGATTTAAGCTTTCTAGTTTATTTTAGAATTATTTTTCCTACAAGTATTAGGTTTAGTTTATTATAAATAAGCGTACAAGCATATGTAATTCATTCATTCAATCAATAATATTTTAAAGAGTTTTTTTTCTATCTTCCTTGTAGATTCAAGGGTGTTCTTGTAGATTCAAGAATTCTCGTCTATTATAAAGATATTTAGTCTCGTGTGATTTATTTCGTCGCGTTAAGTGGTATCAGAGCAAGGAGTCACCTGGCTCAATGGCACAAGACAGAGTAGATCATGCAAACCTTACTGGCGGTGATCATGGAGTTGAGGCCTTATGGATAGCATATGAGAAACAGCAAGAGTAGTTGAACGAAATTCGTGATCTGCTAATTGGCCTGAATCTCAATGCCAACAACAAGCCACCAGTGGTTGATAAGGTCCGTACTGAGGGAGTTGCCCAAGGCCAACCTATTAACCAGAACAAAGTGCACACCAAAGGATTCGCCTGAGGTTAACCTATTTATAGTGCTCCTAGACGTCCCTTTCGTTGTCTATCTGATAGTGAGGAGGAGTCTGAACTAGAGTTTGAACCACTTCCAGCCAACTATCAACCCAGAAAGCAACAACAACAAGGGTTCAATGAGTACCGAATAAAGATAGATCTTCCACAATTGAATGGAAATCTGCATATTGAGGATTTTCTTGACTGGCTTTTAGAGGTGGAGCGATTTTTCAAGATGATGGATGTTCTAGAATAAAAAATGGTAAAATTGGTGACATACAAACTAAAAGGAAGTGCTGCGGTAGGGTGGGATCAATTGCCAGAAAGCCAGTCAAGAAAATCCTCAATATGCAGATTTCCATTGAACTAAGGAAGATCTATCTTCATTCGGTACTCATCGAACCCTTGTTATTGTTGCTTTCTGGGTTGATAGTTGGCTGGAAGTGGTTCAAACTCTAGTTTAGACTCCTCCTCACTATCAGATGGACAATGAAAGGGACGTCTAAGAGCATTCTGAACAGGTTGACCATGGGCGAATCCTTCGGTGCACACTCTGTTCTGGTTAACAGGTCGGCCTTGGGCAACTCCCTCAGCACAGACCCTATCAACCATTGGTGGCATGTTGTTGGCATTGAGATTCAGGCCAATAAGTAGATCACGAATTTTGTTCAACTGCTTTTGTTGTTTCTCATATGCTAACCATAAGGCCTCGACCCTACGATCACTGCCAGTAGGGTTTGCATGATCTACTTTGTCTTGTGCCATTGAGCCAGATGACTCATTGCTTTGATACCACTTAACGCAACGAAATAAATCACATGAGACTATGTATTGTTCTAGTAGACGAGAATTCTTGAATCAACAAGAACACCCTTGAATCCACAAGGAAGATAGAAAAAAACTCTTTAAAATATTATTGATTGAATAAATGAATTACATATACTTGTAGGCTTATTTATAATAAACTAAACCTAATACTTGTAAGAAAAGTAATTCTAAAATAAATTATGAAATTTAAATTAACACAAATTAAGAAACCTAAGAGAATAGGAAACTAGAAAACTTAAATATTTATAATAAACTAAACCTAATACTTGTAGGAAAAGTAATTCTAAAATAAATTAAGAAATTTAAATCAACACAAATTAAGAAACCTAAGATAATAGAAAACTAGGAAACTTAAATCAACACAAATTAAGAAACCTAAAGACTAAAATTCTAAACTATTTAAAATCCTAGTCAAAATCTAATTCCAAAATAATAAAATTAAAAAATATAAAAATTATAGAATTTTGTTCTATACCTTTCTTGTCTTTTGTTGGTCCAATTGTTCAAGAAGTCTTTAACTACTTTGAGAGGGAGATTTATGATTGTAACAAGCCCGCGGGGGACCTCGCTACAGCTCGGACTCGATTTGTAGTCACGGTTCTTAGTCTGAACCAAAGAGTCCAAATCCGGCAAATCGTTTTGAGAAAAACAGATTTTTGAAAGAAGTGCCAAATATGGACTGCTTTGCCAGATACAGAGTCGCCACCTAAATAAAGAAGCTGCTCGGCAAGGCAGCGCTCGGTTGGACCGAGCTGCTTGATCAGGCGATGGTGGAGCCAGTCAAACTGAGTGACCGGCGCCCGGAAAGGCATGGTCAGCCGAGGTAATCGTTTGATCGGCAGGAAGGTCGACCACAGGAGGTGCCCCGGGCTAGGCTTTGCCGAGATGTCGCCTAGCCCGGTCCTCCATGGGCTAAGCCAGTGAAGTGCTTGGGTATGAAGCACAACACGGCCATGGATAGAGAAGCTCGGCTGCCGAGCCCCAGCTGAGAAGACAGGCAGTTGAGATTAGATGATGTTCAGCAAGGTTTATGCTGACAGATGGGATAGCGGAGCCACGTGTCAGGAGATGACTGGGAGTGGATATGGGGCGCAGAGGGTATATAAGCATGTCTGCGCCCCCCATACGAGGTTACTATGTGATGCACACAGCATATAAGTATAAACTGGGTCGCCTGAATTGGAACAAAACATTTCATGTTTGTTTTTGAAAGATGGTTTGCTACTCGCAAGTAGGCTTAAACCATTTGATGATTTATTCCAATTTAAGTAACCCAACCTTCACCCACAGGCATTCAGGCAATTATATCACATAAACATATTGCCTGATGGTAAGCATGCTATCATGGCATTCACTCACACGCATGCAAGGATGCTAAAGCATAAAGCTTACCGGGTACTCCAAGCCAAAACAGAAACTACATTAGAAATCATGCATGAATCCTAACTATGCTAAAATGCCTACTCAGCAACCCAAAAACATGGCTTCTTCTTCCCGTTCAGCT